AGATCGAATGAAAATAAAACTCCCTCTGTTTGCCTTTTCTGCACACAAGCTCTCTATTCAGCAAACGCTTGAAAACGAACAAAAGAGGGCCTTTGGGGAACAATTTTCACTCTAGACGAGTCGGACTTACTCTACATTTTTAAACTTAATCACAGGTATCCAAATTCACTGCCTGAACGAACGTAAATACAAGAGTTTGTTTGGAAAAAAAAAACCAGCGTATCTCGTAGATAGGAATACGGAACGGAAATACAGTAAAAACACCTTTCATCGCTACTATTGAGTATTGGATGTTTAGGCCACTCTTGTTAGGTCATTTCAAAGCGATTTCAGCGAGTTATATAGCTCACTGTTTCCCGCTATTTCAAATGGTAAAGAGAGAGGAAATATTCTTACATAATACTTTTCCCATGCGCTGTTTCGCAAAGTCCTATAACCTTACCTATTGCGTTAATTAGAACAAAACGATTTCAAATTATTGAACTGGCATAAATTGTTCATTATTCAAGTCACGTTCGGGAGTCCAAACGTAGACTGCTGGTAGTCTGAGTTTCTCTTGAAATTCAGTGGGGATTATGAGATGTTTTATTCTAAAAGAGACTGGGACGAGACATGGGCGCGGCAGGCTCCAATCCCTTCTCATCCATACCGCTCTTTTGCGTACGTAATCCTTGATAAACACTCGTTAGACCCTAAGAGGAAAGATTAACTGCCAGCAGTCTAGTCCAAACGTGAGTCATATCTCAGGCCACTATTTACCATTTCATTCTTCCACTAATATCATAATACGATCTTTTATTGGTTGAAATTTCTACGATAACTCGCTAGCTACTTATGGAGTATATTTTTTTCTGCCTGGGAACAAATGCTATTTTCAGCAAATTTTCGGTAGTATCCGAAGTGTTCCGATTAATCATATAACTAGCAAGCATTCGCTACGACGGTAAACCCGGAAACGTAAACTCGACAGAGGCCATTCTCGTCTCCAGTGCTACTCTTCGGTAAACGCTGACTGAAACCGCGTGGGGTCTAAGTACGGGATTGCAACGGCAACAACAACGTTGAGCAGAACAATGACTCTGCCCATTCATTCCGCGTGGTCGTATGCTAATTTTTCACATGTCGTTATCTGTAGTTTTCCAGTAATCACGTTTTACGCAGTCACGTTTTTTTGAGTCAGGGTTTCTCTGAATCACGTTCAGTGACACCATTGATTTGAAGCCCGCAGACTTCGTCTTTTCGTTGCTAAGCAGCTGATCGTACCGTGGTGACGTAACATCGCTCGGAGTACTTTCGAGTGCTCGGGCCGTTGCTCGATTGGACAGCAACAGTCGGAGACTTGTAGCTTGAAACGAAGTTCTGACGAAGATTTGCCAGGTTATTCCCAAGGAGCCGTTCAGACCACAACCACTATTTCGAGATCTTGAAGTGAACGAATCCGAAACGCGGGAAGAGCCATGAATCAAAGTCACCCTAAAGACTTTTTATCTGTAATGAAAAAGTCTGCCGTAACTGGATGGCGAGGCTTGAAATCATACTTTGGCCGAACAAATGGACTTCGTATTTCCAAGAGTAAAAGAAATGGAAACAGTGGTGGAACTGAAATGAAAGCAGGACCGAGTCAGAGTGATTTAAGGAGCAGCAACGAGCAACTGCCTCAGTCTAAACTAACCAGGCGCACGGCAGTTTGTTCTGTGATAGAAGAAAACGACCAGCGCCATGGAATTTCACTGGCAGAGTTGAGAAGAGAGCTGATTGTTCGTTATCTCTTGATAGATGTCGGAATGTTGTGAGCAAGTCGCCGTCACCTCACAGAGAACTGAACTGAAAACTGGTTGAAATGAACTGAACAATGTCAGCTTGAATTTTTTGTAAAACAATTCTGTAATTGTACCAACACGTTTACCGTCCGGCTCAAAGCGCACCGGCTTCTCGCTCATAAATAAATGAGTCAAGCAAGTCTATCTTCCACAATTTTGTAAGCGATGTTGAAGTACTTTCCTTTTTTTTGAATCAATTAAACACGTTTATTGTAGGATATCTGTTGCTGTTGTTTTTAGTGTTTTGAGCGCCTCGACTTGAAAAGATACAAATCCCTCTATTTGTGTTTTTTTCGGGCACAAGCCCTCTACTCTTGGTCTCTTCCAAACACTTGAACGAGCAAACTAAAGTACGCCTTTCGCGCAACAATTTTCCCTTTGGACGAGTCGGGTTAAATCTAGATTTTGTAACTTAAACACAGGTATCCAAATTCACTGCGTAAACGTCATTGATTATCTGATAATGCGAAACAACGTAAATATAAGAGTTTGTATTCTAGCAAACGTATTCGGCAAAAAAGGAATACGGGATAGAAATACAGTAAAAACTACACCTTTTTTCGCTTCCATTGAGTATTTTGTTTATGCTGCGGCGGAGGTTTATTTCGTTTTTATGCGATTTCAGCGAGTTTTTGCTCACTGTTTTCCTCGAGCTTTTTATTCAAATAGTTATAAACGATGTTTCGCAATAATCCGGTTGCAAAAAAAAAAAAGAAGACGATTCATATTATCATAGCAAATATGGGAATGTAATAGAAGTCATGGCAGCTAGGAAAACAAAAAAACCTTTTCTCGCCTCCATTGAGTGAGTACTGGAGGTTAAAGTCATTTCAAAGCGTTTTGCGCGAGTTATCGCTCACTGTCTCCCTCCACAGATGTATCTTATTAGATTTTTTGGTATGTAGTATCGCTGTTTTTACGAGTTGTGCCGTATTTTGACGAGNTTAAGGATTAAGGCGCGAACCAAAAAAAAAAAAAAAACGAGTAAAACTATAATTTGATACTACACATTAAAACATCTAATAAGAGATTTATTATCCAATTGCTGTAGTCAATAAATTTATCAATGAAAGACGGAGAGTGTGCCAGTTTTGTGTGTGCACGCCGACCTGTACGGCAAACAGGTTTTCTACTGTACATGCAAATAACTGTACAATATCGCTGTATATTTGTACTGTTATTTGGACGGTATTCGCTGCAGTTGAATAATGAAGAGGAAACATTCCCATACAAATGCCATTTTCGGCAAATTTACTCGTAGTATCCGAAGTGTTCCGATTTATCATCAAAACTAGGGCGCATTCTCCACCATGAGAAACCCGGAAACGTAAAATCAAGAAAGACAATTAGCAAACGAATATTGTGATTACTGTGGCAGTTCTGGTATTTTGCTCGAATTTGGTTAATCTTTACCCCATCTTCACCCCAGGCGTGGAGCAAAGATGGCTGGATTTTAGCAAACATTTTTTGCATGTTTATGGATCGAGACGTAGTGTCAATCTAGAATAATAGCCAACTGACGATCATTTTCACATTTTCTTTCTTTCACATTTTCTTCTGCTCCGCACCTGGTCCAGATCCCGGGGGGGGGGGGGCCC